CGTTCACCTTTAGGTGTTCTTTTACCAGCACAGCAACGCCACCGCCTTTCCTAATTTTTCTGTCCCGTCTCCAAATTGAGTAGCCCCTTGGGAATATGATCTCATTTAAAATTACATCTTCAAGTTTTGTCTCCGTGAGTGCAACAATGTCTGGTGTCTGCAGCTGTATTATATCACTTAACTCCAGTATCTTCGATCTCACTCCATCTATGTTAGTGTATGCAATCTTGAGGAACTTGTTCCCCCCTCTCCTTATTCTTCACTCCCCCTCTCTCTATTGATTTTGTTGGCTTGCCTTTATGTACCACTTTACTGGTCTGCCTACCCCTATCACTTTGTAGAAAAAAGAATTTATTTCTTCTTCATTCCTGCTCTCATTTAAATGTCTTGCCTCGCCGAGGTTCAGTTTCAGCTTCTCTCTATCTTCTTTTGAAAGATCTCGTCTTAACGACCACCCTTTCCCATCCTCATCACTTTGCAATTTTCTAGCATTCCTTAGTACTTCTTCCATCTGTTTGGCACCGTTTAGGGTGATCCTCAAAGGTCGATCTTTCCCTTTTACGTACCTGCCTATTCTCCTGTAGTCGCACACATTCTCTATGGTTGTAAGACCTTCTACGAGGCCAACAATTTTATCTACTACTTTAGCTTCTTCTACAGCTCTTTCTGACCTAGATGTTATCGCCTTTTCTTTGCAGCCAAAAATGATCAGGGACTTACTCCGATCAACTGTGTTTTGCACCAACTTCGGGTTAGATGCCAATTCTTTCCTCACTTCTAGCCTAATGTTTGTTTTATCTTGGTTGCTGCAGTGTTTGACTTCCTTTACTGCTTCTTCTATTTTTTCCTTCTCCTTGGCCACTTGTGCATAAGTGAGTTGCATATCTTTCTTGCACTGTTCTATTCCCTGTGTAACTTCCTCCATTTGTGCTGACAAAAGCTGTTTCTCCTGTTGAAATTCCTTACCTAACCTATTGTAGTCATTTATGTTTAAATTTCCTTTAACTTCTTCCAAAGCTATTTTTAAGAGTTTATTTTCTTCTTCCATGGCTTTGCAATTTGTTTCCAATTGATTCTTTTCCTTGCGCAAGTCTTTCACTAAACCCTCAAGACACAAAACTTTGCTATTCAAATGGTCATTACTTTCTTTCAATTTACTAATTATTTCTACATGAGAGTTCACTATAGTTTCTAAATTTACCAACTTGTTATGTAGACTGCTAATATCAATGCTTTCTTCATTGAATCCCTCAAAATCAAGCTATGTCTTGTTTTTCCCCTTGCCAGTGGCCATCTTGAATGTTCTTCTTTGCACTGTAAACACTAGGGCAACTTTTTCTCATCCGATTTTTCACTTCCCTTAGCACTTTCCTGTTATCTCACCTATTTTTCAAGAGCACTATACCTTTATGTTCTCTGGGACACCACTCACTACCATCAACCTGTACTACAATACTTAGGATTGTTGAAATATGCTGGAGCTCCTCTGCTGCAAGTGTTGACCCTAGGGGTGTCACCTTTTTCAGGTGTACTGGTTCCTGTGCCTATTGGGCTCTATCATGTCTACATGTGACACTGTATGGGGGTCAGCCTCGTTACTTGTGTGTGGAGTCACCACATTACTTCCTAGTGCTTTCCAATTACCATTCTGACACACAAAAAAAAAAAAAAAAATCTTTCTATTATCTCTGTGGCTCTTTTGGGCACTCAGTTTCCACCTGTGTCCCCTAGTGCGTGTGCCCCTTGTGTTACATAACCTGTCCTTATCAACCCTGTCGATTCCCTTGGGAATCTTGAATGTGGTGATTAGGTCCCCCCTCACTCTTCGTCTTCCAGCGAAGTGTGGTTTAATTCCCGTAGTCTCTCATCATGAATTAGGTAGTGTACTTTTTCTTTCGGAAGGGGTTCTGTTCCCTTCTCTGTTGACTGGGCGCTGGGGGAGCAGCTTGCTCTGTTGCCTTTCGCATGGTCCTGCTGTTGGTGGGCGTTTTGGGTTGTCTTCCGGCCTCTGCTGGCGTTGGAGGACAGCTTCTCCCCCTTGGGGGGGTTCTGAGCTGGCGGGGTGGGCTTCTTCCCCTGCGCTTCGTCATTTCTTCTTCGTGGGTGCGTGGGGCGTGGTTGATCCGCCCCATCCTTCTGGGGTTCACATCTGCTCTTTGCAGTCATGAGCTTTTCCCGTTTGCAGTTCTTCTGGACTTCTTCAGTATGCGCCCTGGATCCTATGCCCTCCTCGGAGGACTGTTGTCTCGTGTTCGGATTCTGTTGGGGCCGGGTGCCTGGATGGTGGCCCTGGACCTCCAGGTCACTTCTTGGCACGTTCCTCTCCGGTTTTCTGGGACTGGCACAGTTGGTGGTGGGGCTTCAGGTTTGCTGTTTTTATTGCCTTCCCTATTTTGTAATGGGCACTTCGTATACTTTTTGCATCTTTACTGGATCTTAGTGCCCTGTCTGAGTCTGAGATTCGGTGTCTGGCCTACCTCGACAACTGGCTGGTGTGGGCTTCCAGTCAGTCCACTTGTCTGCTCGCCAGGGGATGGTTCCTCCCAAATCGCCGGGTTTGGTTTCCTGGTGATCTGGAGGTTTTACCATGTTTCCGTCCCGGGTTCAGACCTGGGCCTTGTTTAGGACTCTTGGGCCACTCATTGTCTTTTCCTCCAGAAGTGTTACTGCGGCTGTGGTCCCGCCTTCGACTGTACAGGAGGGGGTCCCGGGTTTCTCTGCGGTTGCTTGAGCGGTTGTGCGGGAGTCTGCACTTCGGCGTGCTTGTCTGCCCGCGGAGTCAGGTTTGGCTACGGCGTTTGTTGGTTCCTTCAAAGACTTCCCTTCCGCCTCTTGCATTCATTGGGTTCCTCCAGGGATCTTGTGTTGGTGCTGCGTCACCAGCTTCCTCTTTGGGGTTTTCAGGGTTCCGTGCCTTGGCACCTCCCCGAGCCTTCGCTCGATGTGTTCACGGACGGGTCGTCTCTTGGCTGGGGCTTTGTGACCAGTGCTCACCAGGTCGGCCGAGGTTGATGGAGTCTGTCTGTCCGTCGGGCTCACAGCACGGTTCGGGTGTTCGTGGCTGTCTGGTTTGCGCTTCGGAGGGTTTGGGTCTACCATTCAGCTCTGTTCGGACTGTTCTCTGGTGGTTCTTGCCGGAACCGCAGGGGTTTGGCTAACCGTGAGGTTCATGTCCGGGGTGTGTCCTGCGTCTTGGCGGACAGCTGTCTCGGTTCATTCCTCTTCGTGGGTTGGCCAGTCGTCGCCGATTCGTTTTGTTGGCTCTGTCGGGCGTATGGACTCCCTGGCCATGGACGTCTTCGGGTCAGCGTGGTCTAGGCGTCGCCCATTTTGTGGCGCCCTTGCCCACCTGCGAGGACTTCACGGTGGATGCTTTCGGCAGGACTGGTCGAGGTGGGGGGTACCTGTTCCTCTTCTCCCGGTCCAGCTGTTGCTTCGGATTCTGGCTCGGTTGCAGCACTTTCCCACAAGAGCAGTCCTTATGGTTCCGTGGTGGCTGGCCCGGCCTTCTTTTCAGACGCTGCTTGATAGGTGTCCGAACCCGGGGCGTTTTTCCTGAGGCTCCGCCTCTTTCAGCAGACCGAATCGGTCCTGTCCGTGACTGGTTCGACCTTCTCCTTGGCTCTTCGCGTCTGGTATTTTGACGCGGGTATCGCCATCTCTATGGTGTTCAGGTGGCTTTGTTGACGGTGTCCCACCTGCGAACTTCGACTTGGCGACAGTATGACGTTTCATACGTTTTCTCGTGTTTTGCTTCCCCTCCGGCCTGCTCATGCGTCGCCTGAGCCATCCTGGTCCTTGTTCAGGGTGCCTTCTTATCTTCCCCTCAGTTTGTGGTAGCCCCTTCGGTTCAGTTTCCTGCTCTTTGGTACTGGTGGTAGCTTATACGTGTGCAGCCTTTCTCTGTCCTGGCGATGGTCAAGACGGCTGCTTTCCAGAGGGGTTCTTGGGGTATTGGTACTTGATTGGTTTGGCCGGGGGGTGCGTCCTGTGTTGTCCGGTTGTGCTTTTTGCAGTTGCCGGCGTACCGTGTCTGGGGATGCGCTGTGGTTGATCCGGTTCCTTCGTTCCCTGTTTTCAGGGCTCGGGTCTCCCAGGTCGTCCGCAGAGTTTTCATTCTTCCAGCCTGCGGTCTGTCTTTGCACCCGTGCTGTTCAGACGTTTGCAGCTTTTGCTGCTGTGTTGGCGACGTCTAGGGCTCATTTCGGGCGCAGGGATTTGTGGGTCGCACAGGTTCTTGGCCGCCCATCCTTATGCGCGTCTGCTCCTGGGCGTTCTTGTTGCCTTGGGTCGCAGGTTTGCAACCGGTTGTCTTGGCTTTGCGTTGCGGAGTTTGTGGCGGCCGCCTCTCGGGTTAGCCCTTTCTTTTCCTTCTCTTTTGGGCATGAAGCTCCAGGGAGCCGTAGGGGCTCCCCACAGAAAACCAGCGTTGAATGTAATGAAACGCCATTTTCTGGGTGAGCCCTGGAGGCTCCCTGGCAACCCTCCCTCCCACTGGTCGGCGGTTTTTTCGCGTTGGTTGAAGCTTAGCTTCCAAACTGAAGCTTGGCAGCCGGCGTGGTAGGTCCGGGGCTCCCCCCTCCCCCTCCCGGGGTGGGGAGGGCTGTGCGGACGATCGGCGCGGCAGTAAAGTGTGATGTTTGCTTGTTTGCTTGTTTCCTTGTGATTGTAGGGAGTTTCTACCTCTCTGTTCGGTTTTTGTTTTAGCTTTTTACCATGTGGGGGTTTGTTTTGTTATGCCTACCTTTCTGGGTGCATAACCCCGGTCGATGGCAGATAAGGAAAACCCCAACCACAAGGGGTTTTCCAGGGCCATTGCTCCCTGAAACCTCTCTGAAGGGGCCAGGTTCTGGCACTGGTCCCTGGTAGGTCTGAACTCCATAGCTAATGTCCCGGTCTAATATAACATACATTAGCCCGATAAACTCCAGGGAGCCTCCGGGGCTCACCCAGAAAATGGCGTTTCATTACATTCAACGCTGGTTTTTTTTTCCCTACAGGACTGAGAAGCTATTATGAGAATTATTCCCGGAGAGTTACGAAGTTGGTGGGCTGCAACTATTTAATAGCAACTCTTCTCAACACTCATGCTACTCAGCTACAAAGAGACAGAATTATGCCCATAAGTATAGGAAAAAAGGTAAAATATTTTGTTTCTCATCATCCATTTCAGTGTTTTTCATGCTAAACAGAAAAAGAAAAATGATCATAGAGGCAGTAAAAGAATAGGAAATGAAATTTAAAACATTTAGATACAGTATATACACAATTATTAAGGATTAAATATTTTTAACAATTTTTCTGGGAGGAGCCCCTTCAGCTCCGCGGAGTTATCTGGGCTGATATGAATGTATTAGACCATGTATTGAATGTAGACCCTGATATGAATGTATTAAAAAATAAAGATTATAATTTTTTTAATTTATATAACATGTTTATGAGAATTCAGCATTGGCAGATGCAGCATGGCTTGTAGGGCATTCATTGCGGGGGAGATGCTGCAAGACTTGTTGATGGGAATTCAGCATCAGCAGGTGCAACATGGCTTGTAGAGCAGTCGTTGCCAATGGATGCTGCACGAATTGTAGATGGGAATTCAGCATCAGCGGATGCAGCATGGCTTGTAGGGCATTCGTTGCTGGTGGATGCTGCACGACTTGATGATGGGAATTCACCATCGGCGGATGCAGCATGGCTTATAGGGCACTCGTTGCTGGCAGATGCTGCATGACTTGTTGGGAATTCAGCATCGGCAGAAGCAGCATGGCTTCTAGGGCGTTTGTTGCCGGCGGATGTTACACAACTTGTTGACGGGAATTCAGCATGGCTTATAGGACATTCATTGCTGGTGGATACTGTACGACTTGTTGATGGGAATTCAGCATAAGCAAGTGCAGCATGACTTGCAGAGCATTTGTTGCTGGCAGATGCTGCACTACTTGTTGAATTCCCAGTGAGTGCAGCATGGCTTGTAAACGAAGATTTTTCATGGCCCATTGAAATCATGAATTTATCAATTTTTGTATGAATCTGATTATCTTTAGCTAATATTCTGAGACAGTAATGTCCTTCAAAATTGAAGCTAGCCACGCGAGTCCACAGTAAACAATGAGGACACATGGCCCGACACAATACATTCATATCCGTGGGGAAAAAAATACCTAGTGCTTATAATATAAAAGGTATTTAATAAGAAAATAAAGAATTTTGCTTAATAACAATTGTTTCCAAATATTATATTATTAATAATTTATAATTAGCTTCATTAAACTGTATCATTTTAAAAAGTTAAGATTTAATTTACGACTCTGGACGATCGAGGGCAGTGGCGGCTTACTATGTGAGGGCACACCAATGCCAAAACATACCCAATACCGACCTACAGTTTTATCGATTGTCAAACCGGTATTTAAGGCTCCAAAACTGTTCGTTGGAACCGGCAATACGGTAAATAAGAGGCTGTTAAATCAAGTGGATACTTCTGATAAGGTTTGTCCTTTCTTTCTTTCTTGGCTTTTTCAGGACAGTCATTTGATGCCAAATACTGTCGCCTCATATTGTGCGGCACTGGCGGAGATGCTTCAGCTTGCGTTCGGGATGGATGTCACTTCCGCTCCATTTCGTAAAGCTTTCTTGTGCTTTGTTTCACCTGCGACCTGCTTGTGAGCCACATGAGCCGTCCTGGTCCTTGGACAGGGTGCTCTCCTTTCTCTCTTCTCCTCAGTTTGTGGTGGCCCCTTTGGTTCAAGATGTTTTTTTCAAGGCTCTCTTTCTGTTGGCATTAGCCTCTGGGTATCGGGTTGGTGAGCTTCATGCTCTCCTCTGGTGCAAGGGGTTTCTGCTCTTTCGGTCCTGGTAGTCGGTTTGTTAGGTTGCAGCCTTCTCCTTCTTTTCTGGTGAAGAACAAGACGGCTGCTTTCCAGAGGGGTCCTTGGGTCATTGATGCTTGGTTGGTCAGACCAGAGGTGCATCACATGTTGTGTCCCGTTGTGGCTCTTTTGCCATTACCTGTGCGCCTAGGCTTCTGTGGCCGGGGATGCTCTTTGGGTTAATCTGATTTCCCTCGTTCTTTGTTCCAGGACTCGCGTCTCCATAGGTTGTCTGCAGGGTTATTAACACTCTTCTACCTAGGGTGTATGCTCCGTTTGTATGCACGAACTACTCCTGGCGGTGCGGGCGAGCGTGTGGAGACACCAAAATGTGTATACATGTTTCAGTTTTCTCACCTTAATTCTCGTGCTACGTTGTTCGTTTTGGTATCATTGTGTTTGTAATAGAATTCCCTACAGGTGTATATGCATATAATGTTCAAAAGCCTAGCATGAATCCCCACAGCAAAGCCTAAAGTCAGCAAAAGTTACCCGTGAGCGCACAAAATCAGTAAAATGTGTATACTCATTTCAGTTTTCTCACCTTAATTCTTGTGCTACGTCATTCATTTTGGTATCATTGCGTTTGCAATTAAATTTCCTGTAGATATATATATGCATATATTGTCCAAAAGCCCAGCGTGACTTTCCTTAGCAAAGCCTAAAGTTACCCGTGAACGAGCACCAATTGGAACACCCGCAACCTAATGTGTATACTTGTTCAGTTTGATAACATCAAATTTCGTGCTACGTCACTCGTTTTGGTATCGCATTGTTCGCAATATAAAGGCGGGTATTGTAAAACTAGTCCCATAATAATAAAGTAATAAATTGAATTTTAACAAATATTTAAAATTTTTGATGCACATCATCACAAAATTATTTATATTTTTCCAGTGTTCTGACATAAATTTTCGTGTTACATCTTTCATTTTGGTATCAAATTGTTCACAATCTAAAGGTGTGCATTTTAAAACTAGTCCCATAATAATAGCACAATAAATGGAATTTTAACAAATATTTTAAATTTTGGACGCAAAATTGTATTTATAATCTTTCCAGTGTTCTGACATTAATTTTCGGGTTACATTTTTCATTTAGGTATCAAATTATGCACACTTTAAAGGCAATCATTTTGAAATCACTCCCAGATTGATCGGATAAAATTTTACATTTTAACAAATATTTTAACACTTTCGCCCAGCGGTAGCGCCGGACATCGTCACCAAGTTTTCTCTTGTGTCCGCATGGGTGACTCCAGCTGGAGTCTCGAGAAAAAATATTTGTATAAATTCCAATTTCTATCCGATCTACTTGGGGATAGTTTACAAATGTTCGCCGTGAAATTTACGTTTTCTCTAATAGCCGAAGAGCTTATTTGGGAGAACGGCATGGCAGTGAATCATTGTGGTAAAACAATTGTATTATTGACACGACGAGTATAATCAACATAGTTTTTTTATTTGTTGCTGGTCGAACGCATCCTTATGTGACATTTTATACTTATGGTCTTCTAGAACATTCTATTGCGAACACATTGGTACAAAAATGAAATACGTACATCGAAAAATAATGTCAGGACAGTGAATTGAATATAGACTTTTTAATGCGGGTTTCGACGATATGCCGCCGCGGGTAACACTTCGGCCACTTCCCACACTCTTGTGGGTGGGCTGCAACATTGATTCTATATTTATATGCATATGTCCGTGTAGAGAATTTTATTGCGATTTCAGTGATACCAAAATTAACCCTGTAGGACAAGTGTGGAGATGACAACCCTAAAGATAGTAGAAACATTTCGTTGCTGTCTGGCGCTCGTGACTAGTGATCGACGTAGTTTTTTTATTTGGTGCTGATCTAACTTATGTTTTGGTGACATTTTATATTTATGTTCTTCTAGAACATTCTATTGCGAACACATTGGTACAAAAATGAAATACTGTATGTACATCGAAAATTAACGTCAGGACAGTGACAAGAGTATACACTTTTAAATGTTGCCGCTCGATCGCCCGAAACGCTGCGCGCACAAGGGGAAAGTTTTTTTCCATTCGCCGGAGCGCGAAAGTGTTAATAATCGGACGCCACTGGTGTCACCGACTCGGACTCAGGAGAAAAAAATCAGACGCCAGGGGCGTTAGAAGAGTGCAAAAGTGTTAAGTCTAGCCAGCCTGTGGTCTGTCTTCGTGCCCATGAAGTTCGGAAGTTTGCCGGTTTGGCTGCCGTCTTCGGCAACATGTCTTGGGCTGATATTCAGGTGCGAGGGTTTTGGAGGTCGAACAGGGTCTTAGCTGTCCATTATTTGGTTATCATTCCTGGTTCTGAGCGTACATTTGTGGCTTTGGGTCACAGGTTGCAGCCAGATGTCTCTCCTTCGAGTTAAGGGGCGAGTGGCGACTGGTAAGTCCCTCAAAACCAGCATTGAATGTAATGAAATGCCATTTTCCGGGTGAGATCCGGAGGCTCCCCGGAGCTATCCAGGCTGATATTGCTAATGTCAAACTTTGGCATCAGTCATGTGTATGGAGTTCTTAGGCTTACTGGGAACCACAAGCCAGAACCTGGCTCCCTCAGAGAGGCACGAGGAGCAATGGCCTATAGAAACCCCCATGTGGTTGGAAGCATTCTATGTCTTCCATTGACCGGGTCAGGCACCCAGAAAGGTAAGCATCCCAAAACAAACCCCTATTCTGGTTAAGAAGTTGCTACTGGGAGCCGAACTAGTGGACAGAACTCCCAAAATAAAAACGAGCTAATGAGTATGACGTCACTACGTCGCCTCGCCGCCATCTGCGCAGCTCCCTCCTCCCTGGGAGGGGGAAGGGGGAGTCCCAGACCCCTTGCGCTGGCAACCCAAGATGCCAGTTCTAAGGCTGGATATCAAAACATGCGAGAAAAAGTCGACCGGGGGTCGGAAGGGAGGATTGCCGGGGAGCCTCCGGGTCTCACACAGAAAATGGCGTTTCATTAAATTAAACGCTGATTTTCTGGTGGGAAAACTAACTTCCCAATTAGCTCCCCAGAGCTACCTACCCAAAGATGAAAACAAGAAGGACCTAACCCTGGAGGCAGAAATCGCTCACTCCCCAACTCGAAGTGGAGACAAAAGACTGCAACTGCCAACCCAAGGCCACACAGGTCCGACAAGGCCCAGGAACATCAACGAAGGAATGCATAGCCATCCTACGAATGTTGTGGGCACGGGGATAGACATAGACAGCAGGCTGGCTGGACCGAACCACCCTGCGGACGACCTGAGAGAACCGCACCCTGGAACAGGGAAGAAGGGAAACCGGAACAACCCAAAGCATGACAACCCGGTCACAGCAGCCGTGGCACGCAAAGAACGGCAAAGCGCCGCAACACACATGATGCACCCCCGGCCAGACCAGCCAAACAACAACAACCCAAGGACCCCTCCGGAAAGCAGCCTTTTTAGTCTTCACCAGAAAAGAAGGAGACGGCAGCAAGTGACCAAACCTATCACGAGGACCAAAAGAGCCAAAACCTTGGTGCCGGAGGAGAGCATGAAGCACCCCAACCCAACCCCCAGGGGCCAACGCCAACAAGAAAAGAGCCTCGGAAAACGCCAAACAAACCGAGGAGAAGAGAAGAGAGCACCCAATCCAAGAACCAGGACACTCAAGTGGTCCAAGAAGCAAACCACGGAGCAGCTCAGAGGGAACACCAAAACCGCCAGAGCGCCGCACGAGACAAGGCGACAGTATGTGGCAAGATGATGGCCCTGAACCTCCACAAGAGAAGGACAAGACCACGCCAACAAAACGCAGCAAACCTACGAAGGGACAAAAAGAAAAAGGAAGGACCGCCAAAAAAACCCACACTGCCGCCGAGACGAAGCACGCAGGTGGGACACCATCAACGAAGTCACCTGAACACCAACAGATGGTGAGAGACTCGAGGCAGAACCGAACCAGCCCCGCCATGGACCGCTCGAGCATAGGAAGAGGCGGAGCCGTGGGAAAACCTCGGGTGCGAACACCGAGCAAGCAGAGCCGGAAACCCAAGCCGGCAAGGAACCAGATGGAACGTCTGCCGTACAGAAAACTTCCCAATGCTAGCGAGCTCGTCAGGAGATCGGAGACACTGTGGTTCCGACGCAAGACTCATGAGAAGTGACACCGCGAGATCAGGAAAATGCCAACTGGCAGGGTAAGCCAGGAAACCAGGAACCCAAACCCGGCAAGCCGGGAAAGAACCAACCCGGGCGAGCAGAAACGCCCTGTCCGGGAGGAACCCCCCGGGACCCCTGAAGGACCAACAAGTCCGACAACAGATGACAACTAGAAGCCGCCAGCAGAAAAACGCCGAAACGCAGACACCGCAAACAGCAAGGACAAAAGTGCGATGAAAATTGAAGACCTAGGTCCCAGGCCGAGGCCAAGGAAGCGAGCACTGCGAGCTGAAAAGCAAACCGAAAAGCAGGGACACCGCATCCCACAGGAGTGGCGAACGCAGCCCCAGCAGGGCAGAACAAAGAGTAAAACAGAGTAAAGTATGAGGTATGAGGAGAACAAACCAGTACATGAACAGCACGAAAAGAAAAACGCACCGCCTGAAAGGGAACACAAAGAATAAGGCCGGAGCCAGGGCCTGAAACCTAGCACCTCCCGGCCCAACGAAAAGAAACTGCAGGGGCAGGAGGGGAAGAACGGAAGCTACATCCACCTGCATACAGGGCAACCTAGAACCTGGAAGTGTCAAACAAGGAGAAGATCAGGACCAAAACCGAACACAGGGGCGGTGCAAAAGCAGGAAACTGAACATGGACAAAACCCAACCTAGCATTAGTAGAGCCAAGAAGCACATACTAAAACACACAACAATATGTAGGAGCGAATGAGAAAAAACTGAAAATGCAAGAAAAAGATCAGAAAAACAGTCCAAGCACCAGCTAGGGACAAGAGTGTAGAAGGAAGACGAGGAACGAAGAAGACAGCAGCAATCGGGAATGAAAGGGACACGACCTACTACACACAGAGAATCCAATGCATATGGAAGGGCTCAGCCAGGCACTGCACGACGGTCAAGGAATGAGTGTCCAAGATAAGACCACGAAAAACGGGGCCGTGCCCCATCGTGTAATAAATAACACAGACGAACAAGTAGGGCCACAGGAAGAAGCATGCAATGGGCCAAACAAAACGCCACAATCAATCCCCAGCACGAATCCAAAAACCATGAACCAGCGCCTGGCTAAAGAGACTCCCAACCGCATAAACTCACCTGCAGAGCATAGCCACTAACGTGTCAACACCTTAGCTGAGAATATTCCAGGAGCACCGCTAGAGGAAGAAGGCCAGAGCCGCATGTGCAGGAGAAAAGTAGGGTAGTGGCGAATGCGGGGTCCCACACCCGTATGCAGAGAAAAACTAGGCGTCCTCCCCATATTGGTAATCCAGAACACCCCCAGTATCTACAGGGCTCGGACTGGAGAGATAAGAGGAGCGAGAGAGGCGAAGCACCCGAGAGAAAAAGGACGTAGAACACCAACACTTGTGTACACCGTCCATAAACAAAACAAACTCCCACGGCGCATGCGCAGGACGCATGAGGTCCGAACCGCACAACCCGCCCGGCGGGGAGGGCGCCAACTAGGAGTATTTAAGGAATATTAGCAGTGCCGAGACAGAGCACAGAGAGAAGATATAATTACAAAAGAATGAGACAGTACCGAAAACCAAGAAGAAGCATAGAAGAGGACCAACGAGTCCTAGAAAGGACTGGAGGTAAGCCTCACCGGAAGACGACAGACGTTCCAATAATACGGGAAGTATCGAAGACCTTCCCGAACCTTCGAGATCCTACAGAAGCAAGCACAAAATCACGAAGGCTCATAAAGGCACAGTCGCACCCGAGACCAAAGGTCAAGCAGAACCCCGATACGAGGGAAACACGACCTCGACATGACAGAGAAGTCCCGTCCCAGAGAAGAAGGGTGAGAGAACGGAGAATAGTACCCACCGACAAGACGGAACCAACGGACCCGAAGGGACAAGGAACCGAACCCGGGGAGGGGCCGATGCCCAACAACTCGTACGCAGAGGGGGGAAAGGAAAAACCCCCACTTCCCGTAACTGCAAGCTCTGCTCAGAGGGTAGAAAACCCCGGTGGGGTCCAACGGGGCCCCCCCAAGGCAGCCCCTCCCCAACCCCTGAGAATCTCCACGGCAGGACCTGGGTCCGAGCCGTCCCCCCAATGCCCCAGCCTTACAAGAAAAAGCTGGGGCAGCCAGATAAATACAGTACTAAGGAAGGGAGCCCACTGGCTGACCCATAGAACACGGCTGGAGGAACAGGCTCGAATGCCTCCGTCGCCACCTCGGAATGGGAAATCCCCGAGACTGCCCGAGTCTCAACACCATCGAAACCCCGCCCCGCCCCCGAACCCACAGACAGTGAAGATCCGGATGCAGGGAAGAAGGGGGGGAGACCAGACTAAACCACAACAGGGGAAAGACAAGGGGGCGCGGACAGAAAAAAAAACAAAGCGACCAACATTCCCATGCCCTGTCACAACAACCAAGACGAGGCAGCCTTAGGGCTTCCGTGGAGCAAACAACCTAGCTCGTTGCAACCACCTGAACCCAACATGCAACGCTCGTGCTGCCTGCACCTGCATAGTCAGCATAGGATTGGGTAACTGAGTCACAAACAAGCAACAAAACTCGCAGGACTCTGGGTCGAAGGGTCCGCCGACCCAACAGGCAGCAGACGGAGGCAAAAACAGTGAGAGTCACCCTGAGACAAGGGGACAGAGCAACTCTCGAACTCGCACAAAGCGAGTGGGGATTCAGGGGTCACATCCATCGGACCCACATGCCCCCATAGGGATTCCCAGGGTCCTGGGACTGAACTCACGCTCAAGGAAGCTCAGGCAGGGTACTGCTAACTGGCGTCCAAGTCTACCAAACAACTTTTTAAGAACTGAACCCCTGGGACATGTACACTCACGGGGACCAAGCAGGAGGGTACCACCTGAATAGAGAAGAGCACTCAGTACACAGAGGGCAGTAACGAAGGCAGACCCCCACCAGGCAGGCAAACAAAAAGAAAAAGAAAACCCCACAAGAGGACAGCATACCCAGGCGGAATAGAGCAAGCCGCAATGATCGGTGAAAACAAGCTGCGCCCCTTACCAGTGGAAACTGCCCCCTACCCTAAGGTGAACATGGGAGACAAAACACCCTAGCGCACAAAGGGCGGCCAACAACCGAGCAGTAAATGGCCAAACAGAGGCAGAACCCAAGGAACCTGTGGAAGGTGGCCCCAAGCCCCAAGGGCAGTACTTACAGGGCACCTTGGAAAAGTTAACCTAGGCACATGCAGCCCAAGTACTGAAGAATCACTCCTGTCTCGCATGCCCCCTATAAGACAGCCACCATGCCACAAGGCACAGAGCTGAGACCAAGACTGGAGCCAGAGCACACAACTTCTGCCTAGTGCATCAGCCTCAGAACTGGGGTCTTGGGTTGCCGGCATGAGGGGGGGAGCTCCACAGACGGCATCGTGGTGACATCATACTCATTAGCTCGTTTTTATTTTGGGAGTTCTGTCTACTAGTTCGGCTCTCAGTAACAATTTCTTAACCAGAATAGGGGTTTGTTTTGGGATGCTTACCTTTCTGGGTACCTGACTCCAGTCGATGGCAGACAAAGAATGCTTCCAACCACATGGGGGTTTGTATAGGCCATTGCTCCTCGTGCCTCTCTGAGGGGGCCAGGTTTTGGCTCGTGGTTTCCGGTAGGCCTAAGAACTCCATACACATGACTGATGCCAAAGTCTGACATTAACAATATCAGCCTGGATAGCTCTGGGGAGCCGACGGGGCTTCCCCACAGAAAACCTCAAGCTCGACCCTTTGTTCAGTGAAGAGGAGACTCCGATGAAATCACTGGATGTGCTGACATCTGGATCATGTGCTCTGTCTTCTTTTGAAACTTTCCAGCAAATGGCAGATGTAAAAGTAAGCTCAAATACCTCATAGAAATCTTGAAAGTGTCTCGTGTTTATGTGAATTACACAACTTGTTGCTTCTAGTTATATTACAATGAAACAAAATTCTGGCTAATGTATTACATATTCTAATATGTTAGACTAGTCCATCTTGTTATTTTGTTCCACTTGATATAATGACATAAGTGATCTGGTTATGTGACATTTGTGTATGAAAATGTGGTGTATTGAGATAGCCATGCACCTTGGCATATATTTATCTGAGAATTATATATTTTCAGGTCTTTGAGAAGGAGGCAAACATAGATAAAGGTTCACCAACTCCAGAAACTGGTGTGACAACAGAAGAACAGATTCACTTAAAAAGGGAGGAACAACTCTCTCGCCTGCAGACTGAAATAAGCAACGTTATGAATAAGACTGAAGAATGTACTCAGGGTATTCAGCAGTCTATGTCAGTGTTAGCCAAGGTGAAAAATTATTTATATGTTGCTTATTTACATATTCAGCAGTTAGCATGATAGGAATGATAATGTTGTATAATATCAGAAAATGTTAACTAAAATTTATTCATGTAATTAAATGGAAATATTTAGTTTAATCCTTTTTTATGAGCTCTTATAGAACTCAATAAAGGAGTATTGCTTCATGTTATAGCTTTGATTATTTTAAACCACAATTGAAGTACATTGCCTGCTAAAAATAAAAAGTCACTCAACCTTCCATGGAGAAATATTTGGCAAGTAATGAATTAAAAATAAACATTAACACAAGCAATAAATTGCTTCTCCATACAGTGTAAATACCAGGTGGGAATGTGGAACTACAGTACTGAGGTGCTTCCCAGAAAATGGTGTTTCATTACACTCAACACATTATCTGGACTAGGCCCCATGAGTTTTCTCACTACAAGAGTTATATATATATACACAAGATTTCTTACATTCTTGTAAAGCCACTAGCATGCATAGCATTTTGAGAAGGTCCTTAACCCCAATTTTCTCCGGAATATGACCCACCAAATTGTTTAACAACCAGGTACCCATTCACTGTTAGGTGAACAGAAGCTACAGTTAAGGATTGGCGCCCAGTCAATCCTTCCCGGCCAGGATACGAACCCAGGCCAAAGCGCTTGCAAAATGCCGGGCGAGTGTTTTATCACTGTGCCACGGGGACAGTGCCTTGAAGAAGAGACATATTCATAATCTTGATCCTAGAAAGACTAAATAAAATAGCAATAAAAACCCTGTGTTGAATGTAATAAGACACCTCTTTCCGGATGATCTCTGGTGGCTACCTGAGGCTATCTCACTGAGATTGCTCCATACAGGAGGCTTGGTCGACGACCGGGCCGCGGGGACATTAAGCCCCGGAAGCACCTCAAGGTAACCTCAAGGTAAGGTACACATGGGTCATATCAGACATGAGAGTTCAGTTTGGCATATCAGGGACCAGAGCCAAATCTGCCGCCATTTTCACTGAGGCACAGAGAGCAAGTGACAATTTGCCACCACACCAGAAAAACATCAAGAAAGTCAATGAACTTTTACAGACAACTGGAGGGATAAGAAAGACTTAAGCTTCGAAATTTTGCCAAACAAATCTGCAAACGATTCATATAATTCAAGAGAAAAAATAAAAATTAGTGTGAATCTTGATAGCGAATGCTACCACCAGGCAGCCCATCTTCCACATGCAGCCATATTCCTTACCTGGTTCTGGAGCTGAAGAACATCCCACCAATGAACCAACTAACCTTGTAGCAAGGGAGTGAGTTAGGGAGCCATCAGGGCTTATCCAGAAATAGGAGATTCATTACATTCACTGCTGGATTTCTCGGGAAGCCCCTGTTGCATCTTGAAGCTAACCACAGAAAACCAAAATTGGACTTAATAGACAGCAGGAGAGGCACCATGCACTAGGATGAAGAAAAGAATCCAGGCTGGGAGACATGGCCAAAGGCAACACATGACCAAATGTGACCAAGGATATTAATCAAATACAGTACTGGGTCTTTAGAACCCTGTTAGAATGCCAAAACCCATGAGTTAAATATCAGCCCAGGACATGTTGTAGAAGACTGCTTCTAATACAGCATACTTGCAAACACCATGGGCCCAAGGGTTGACCACTGGCTGGCTACATTTGATGACAGTGTGGATGATCTATGAAATATGAGCCTTGGAACAGGGGACCAAGAAAACTGAAAAAAGCGTCCACCAAGGGAGAACTGGTGACCAACAGATAGTGGCAAAGAGCCACAACTGGACACAAAATGTGATGCACCCCCAACTGGACTAACCAAGCATCTATCACCAATGGATTCATCTGAAAGCTGGCGTAGCTCAGTCGATTAAGGCAGCGTCTGGGATGATCTTGGACGTAGGTTCGTATCCTCGTCACGGCCCTTGTGGATTTGTTCATTGATGCATCACGCTATTGTAATTTCTGTGTGTAATGAAGTAAGGGTGAAGAGGTAGAACAGTCTATTGACATAACTCGAGTGCATGGGGGAGTTGTGTAAAACCCTGGTTTATGTCTCGGAGAGGCTGCAGGATCCAAGTAAATTAGTTTCAACTTCTGGTTTCAACTCTTTTTGACCGTATCGTAGCTCAGTCGATTAAGGCAGCGTCTGGGATGATCTCGGACGTCTGTTCAAATTCTCGTCACGGCTCTTGTGGATTTGTTCTTTGGTCCTGTCGCCGTTCGCCCCCATTGACGGGGTGATGGGGGGGGAGGCTCACGCTGTTTGCTCTTGCCTGGTCCCACGATTCGTGGGCATTTCAAATTGTTTCCTCCGGTCTGCAGTCCCAAACTACTCCTTCGAGGGGTTTGGGGCTGGCAGGGCAGGCCTCTTTTTCCCTGCGCTCTGTCAGGTCATCTTGGAGTGGGTACGCTTGGGCGTGGTTGAAACAACGGCGTCCCTCAGGTGAGTTTCCCGCCTGTTTCCAGTTCCGAAACGGTACTGTGCAGACCTGAGGCTCGTTCTGGACTTGTCCTGTCTGAACCCCTGGGTCTTTTGCCCCTCCTTTCAGATGACTACACTGTCCCAAGTCTGGCTGCTTTTGGAGCCGGTGCTTGGATGATGTCCCTGAACGTCCGGGATGCGTATTGGCACGTCCCGATTCATCCAGGATTTAGGGACTGGCTTGTTTTTTTTGTGAGTTGGCATGCTTACCGCTTTCGTTGCTTTCCATTTGGCTTGAATCTGGCGCCTCGCATTTTTACACACCTTACCCGGGTCATGGTGACCAGTTTGCGTCTGTTAGGGGTTCGGGTTCTGGCTTATTTCGACGACTGGCTGGTCTGGGCTTCCAGCCAGTCCACATGTCTACTCATCAGAGATTTAGTTCTTTCCCAGCTCACTGGGTTCAAGTTCTTGGTGAACTGGAGGAAATCCCATTTGGTTCCCTCCCAGATTCGGACTTAGCTGGGTCTTGTGTGGGACTCTCGGACTGCTTCCTTGTCTCTCCCTCCATCGCCATTGCTGTGGCTGCAGTCCCGCCTTCGGCTGTTTCAGGAGGGTACCCGGGTCACTCGTTGGTTGCTCGAGCAGCTGATTGGGAGTCTGAACTTTGCTGTGCTGGTCTACCCTTCGGGTCGGATCTGGCCTTGCGTCGGCTACTGCGCCGGTTTCCTCTTTGGGTTTTTGGGGTTCAGTGTTGTTGTGCCTGTCTGAGTCCTCGCTTGATGTGTTCACGTATGCATCTTCTCTCAGTTGGGGCTTTGTGACCAGTGCTCACTAGTCCGGGCAGGGTCGGTGGGGTTCCGTCCGTTCACGGGCTCACAGCACAGTACGGGAGTTCGTGGGGGTTTGGCTTTCGCTTCAGAGGGTTCGTGTTGCTTGCATATCAACGATTTGGCTCTATTCGGAATGCTCCTCGGTGGTTCATTGCCTGAACTGAGGGGGTTCGATGCCGTCCTTGGTTCTTTGGAGCTGGTCTCTTCAGGTGACTCGTCTACTGAGTTCTTGGGGTTTGGCTGTCCTGGCAGTTTGTCCAGGTGATGTCCAACGTTCTGACAGGCAGCCTGTCCCATTTCATTCCCCTGCCCTCAGAATAGACGGTTGACGATGCCTCATTCCTTTGGCTCTGCCAGACGTTCGGGTGCCCGGAGGTGGACCTCTTCACTTTGGTATTGTCGAGGCATCTTCCAATTTATGTGGCGCCCTTCCCTGACTGTGAGGCCATCGAGGTTGATGCCTTTTGACTGGACTGGTCGAGGTGAGGTTACTTGTACCTCTATCTCCCAGTTGGATTGTTGCTCCAGGTCCTGGCTCGCTTGAAGATCTATCAGGGAAGAGTAATCCTGTTGGCACCTTGGTGGCCGGCCCAGACTTGGTTTCGGGCGCTGCTTGCTCGGTGTCCAAACCCGAGGGTGTTCCTGCGGCTCCGCTTCTTTCAGCAGATCAGTCTGGTCCAGTACATGGCTGGTTCTATCTTTGAACCAGCCTCCTCTGATCTTTGGTACGATCAGAGGAGTACGATCGTCTCCTCTGATCTTCGCGTATGGTCTTTTTGACACTGGTTTATCACCACTTGTATGGTGATCAGGTGGCTTCGTTGATGGTGTCCCACCTGCGAGTCTCATCTTGGCAGCAGTATGAAGTTTCCTGGTGGTCCTTTCTCCATTTCTTGACTCTTCGTAGGTTGTCTTCGATATCTCATCGGGTTGTTTTGTCCTTTCTCTCTTGGTTGTTTCAGGACCATCATCTTATGCCAAATACTGTCACCTCGTATCGTGCGGCGCTGGCAGAGTCGCTTCAGCTTAAGTTCGGAGTGGATGTCACTTCTGCTCCGTTCCGAACGCTCTCTAGGGCATTGTTTCACCTCTAGCCTGCTCATGTGCCGCCGGTGCATCTCGAGGGGCATCTTCACCCTTCACACCAGTGCCTTGAGAGTGCGTCTTTTACGCTGGCAAATATGGTATATATTCCATATATTTTCCATATACTGTACAGTATCTGTGTGTTAAGAGTTATGCAGGTTACTGATTAACATTAAAATTCTTATCTAATTTTATATTTTACAGCTCACTGAGGAATTGACAAAAGAAGAACAGATGAAAGAAGAGCATATGATAGAATTTAATATGAAACGGAAAACATCAAGTCTTTTACCTGAATCATCAACAAATATTCAGAGACTACAGGTAAGACTTGAGATCAGAATATAATTTTGTGTCTTCATTATCATCACTGTATTTCTCACTTTGGTTGAATGGAGAGGCATCTGCCCATAATTGAAAGGGAAATAGAAGGTTATAGATACAATTATTAAAAATGTCATTTCTTCATATGTTACATTATTTTCATTATATAGCATCAAAGATAAAGAAGCACAACCACACTCTCCAGCTGTCATCACCAGCAGCACACCATTGCTTTGTATTTCTGTGGGGAGCCCCTATGGCTCCCTGGAGCTTATCAGGCTAATGTTTGTTATATTAGACCAGGATATTAGCTCAGGAGTTCAGATCTACCAGGGACCAGCGCCAGAACCTGGCCCCTTCAGAGAGGTTTCAGGGAGCAATGGCCCTGGAAAACCCCTTGTGGTTGGGGTTTTCCTTATCTGCCATCGACCGGGGTTAGGCACCCAGAAAGGTAGGCGTAACAAAACAAACCCCACATGGTAAAAACTACAACAAAAACCGAACAGAGAGGTAGAAAACTCCCTACAATCCCAAGGAAACAATCAAACATCAATTTACTGCCGCGCCGGTCGTCCGCGCAGCCCTCCCCGCCCCTGGAGGGGGAGGGGGGGGCCCCGGACCTCACCGCGCCGGCTGCCGCTCAGTTCGCAAGCTAGTGTCAACCGGGATAGACGCTTCTCTGGCCTCAAATTCCTTGGCGGTGTTTGCCTCGTGTGGCGTTCTCTGCTGTTGTTGTGGTGTGCGGTGGCCAGGAGTACTTCATCAGTGCCGGGGCTGCATGCGCTTAGGGCTTCCTTCCCTAGGCGCCCTGTGAGTACTGCCCTTGCGTGTCAGGGTTATCTTCCCTGGGGCGTTCGGGAACCGCTCCCGTAGAGGTTTTTGCTGCTCGGCATTTGCCTCGCCCTTGGGGCCAGCTGGGGCTTGGGGCCCTTGTTTGGCCTTGGGTAGGGAGTGGTTTTGTGCTGGTTAGGGCGTCAAGGTGTTGCGCGGCCTGCCACCTAAGCGGCGACCGGTTCCTGTTGCTCTGGGGACGGTGTACTTTTGCGGGGTTTTTCTTTTGTTTTTAATTTTGGTTGCCTGGTGGGGGTGCTGCCTCGTGGGCCCATAGTTCCCCTGGTATTGTTTTGGTGGCCCTCTGCTAGGCCCCCGTGCTTGTACACGTCCCAGGGGTTTTCAGTGCTATCATTTACCCGTGTTTTGTTTGGGTTTCTTAACCGGTTAGCAACACCTTGCCCGGGCTTCCCGTAGTTGCTACCCTACGGGCCCTGGAAACCCCTGTCGGGGCTCGGGGACCCATGGATGCGTCTCCCGAGTTCCAGCCTGCCTTGTGCGGGTTTGAAGGTTGCAGTGTGCCCTTGTCTCAGGGTGACAGTCACCTGTTTTGCCTCCGTCATGCTGCCTGTTGGGTCAATGACACCTTTGACCCGGAGTCTTGCGAGTCCTGTTCTCTGCTTGTGCTCAGGTTTTACTCTGAGGATGTTCCTATTAGAGTACAGGCAGCATCAGCGTTGCATGTTAGATTTAGGTTATTGCAACGCGCTAGGTCGGTTTCCCGCCTGGATGCCCCGAGGCTGCCCCGTTTTGGCTTTAGGGACCCTGACCTGGGGGCGTTGGTTGCTATGGCTTTGACTCCTACGCCCTCTGGTCCTTCCCCTGTGGTTCTTCCTGCACCTCCCCCCCTGTGTCCGGCTCCGAAACGTATGCGGTTTTCGGCCTTGGCACAGGATTTAGTTGGTGGAGAGACTCGGGCTGCTTCGGGGGCTGCCCCATCCGGGTCGGGGACGGAGGCATTTGAGCCGGTTCCTCCTGCCGAGGCTTCTGGGTCCCACCAGCAGGCCCCCTTCTTGTCTGCCTTTCCCTTGGACTCTACCTTTTCTTCAGGGGTAGAGGGTTTGGAGGACGGCTCTGCCCCGGGTCCCGACGTAGGGGATCCTGCGGCTGGGGAGGAGTCGGCCTGGGGGCCTTGGGGCCCCTGTAATTACCTAAGTGTAATTACCTAAGTGTAGTTACAGGATGAGAGCTACGCTCGTGGTGTCCCGTCTTCCCAGCACTCTTTGTCATGTAACGCTTTGAAACTACTGACGGTCTTGGCCTCCACCACCTTCTCACTTAACTTGTTCCAACCGTCTACCACTCTATTTGCGAAGGTGAATTTTCTTATATTTCTTCGGCATCTGTGTTTAGCTAGTTTAAATCTATGACCTCTTGTTCTTGAAATTCCAGGTCTCAGGAAGTCTTCCCTGTCGATTTTATCAATTCCTGTAACTATTTTGTATGTAGTGATCATATCACCTCTTTTTCTTCTGTCTTCTAGTTTTGGCATATTTAATGCTTCTAACCTCTCCTCGTAGCTCTTGCCCTTCAGTTCTGGGAGCCACTTAGTAGCATGTCTTTGCACCTTTTCCAGTTTGTTGATGTGCTTCTTAAGATATGGGCACCACACAACAGCTGCATATTCTAGCTTTGGCCTAACAAAAGTCATGAACAATTTCTTTAGTATATCGCCATCCATGTATTTAAATGCAATTCTGAAGTTAGAAAGCATAGCATAGGCTCCTTGCACAATATTCTTTATGTGGTCCTCAGGTGATAGTTTTCTATCTAGAACCACTCCTAGATCTCTTTCTTTATCAGAATTCTTTAAAGATTTCTCACATAATATATAGGTTGTGTGGGGTCTATGTTCTCCTATTCCACATTCCATAACATGACATTTATTAACATTAAATTCCATTTGCCAAGTGGTGCTCCATATACTTATTTTGTCCAGGTCTTCTTGAAGGGCATGACAGTCATCTAAATTTCTTATCCTTCCTATTATCTTAGCATCATCAGCAAACATGTTCATATAATTCTGTATACCAACTGGTAGATCATTTATGTACACAATAAACATCACTGGTGCAAGAACTGAACCCTGTGGTACTCCACTTGTGACATTTCTCCATTCTGATACATTGCCTCTGATTACTGCCCTCATTTTTCTATCAGTCAGAAAATTTTTCATCCATGATAGAAGCTTACCTGTCACCCCTCCAATATTTTCCAGTTTCCAGAACAACCTCTTATGTGGAACTCTGTCGAAAGCCTTTTTTAGGTCCAGATAGATGCAGTCAACCCAACCATCTCTTTCCTGTAATATCTCTGTGGCTCGATCATAGAAACTGAGTAAATTCGATACACAGGATCTTCCAGATCGAAAACCATACTGTCTGTCTGATATTATATCATTTCTCTCTAGGTGTTCTACCCATTTAGTTTTGATTAGTTTTTCCAATACTTTCACTATTACACTTGTCAATGATACAGGTCTATAATTGAGGGGGTCTTCCCTGCTGCCACTTTTGTAGATTGGAACTATGTTAGCCTGTTTCCACCCGTCTGCTACGATTCCTGTACACAGGGATGCCTGAAAGATCAGGTGAAGTGGAATGCTGAGCTCAGATGCACATTCTCTCAGAACCCATGGTGAAACGCCATCTGGGCCAGCTGCTTTGTTCTTACCGAGCTCCTTGAGCATTTTTTCCACTTCGTCTCTAGACACCTCTATGTGTTCTATGTTGTTCTCTGGAATTCTTATTGTATCTGGTTCCCTAAAGATTTCATTTTGTACAAACACACTTTGGAACTTTTCGTTTAGTGTTTCACACATTTCCTTTTCATCTTCCGTGAATCTATTTCCCATTTTCAACCTCTGAATATTATCCTTTACCTGCAATTTGTTGTTTATGAATTTATAGAATAGACCTGGTTCTGTTTTACATTTGTCCGCAATCCCTTTTTCAAAATTTCTTTCTGCCTCTCTCCTCACTGCCGTGTAGTTGTTTCTCGCATCTTTGTATCGCTGGTATGTTTGGGGGTTCGGCCTCTTCCTGTATTGATTCCATTTTTGTGTCTTTCGGTCTCTAGCCCTCTCGCAATTTCTATTGAACCAATCCTGTTTCCTAGTTCTGCATCTCTGTTTTGGTATAAATTTTTTTGTGCCTTTATCATATATTTCACAAAACTTGCCATACATCTCATTCACTTCCTTGCCTAGCATCAAGTCTGTCCAATTATACTCACTAAAAAAATTTCTAAGGTCACCATAATGTCCTCTCCTGAAGTCTGGTTTTTCAACTGCTTCAACCTCCTTATTTTCTTCCAGCTTATAACGCATTGCATACTTTATTCCCAAAAAGACATGGTCACTTTTACCCAAGGGAGGAAGGTACTGAATGTCAAATATCTCTTCCTCCTTCCTGGTAAATATCAAATCTAGCATGGAGGGAACGTCCCCTTCCCTCATCCTCGTAGCTTGTTTAACATGTTGATACAAGAATGTTTCCAGGATGAGGTCTACAAATTTACAGGTCCAAAAATCTTCTGTTTTAGCTTCATATGCTTCCCAGTCTATGGATTTCAAGTTGAAGTCACCGACTATCAACAGTCGTGATCTATCGTTATCCGCTCTCGCTATAATCTCTCTCATTATTGTTATAAGACCTTCACGTTTACTATCTAGCTCCTCCTTTGACCATGTGCTGCTTGGCGGTGGACTATATGCATTTATCATCATTAGTTTATCATCCTCATAGCAGATCTCTAGTGCTATTATGTCAACTTCTTGTGGATTGGCAGTCATTATTTCCTTCACCTTTAGGTGTTCTTTTACCAGCACAGCAACGCCACCGCCTTTCCTAATTTTTCTGTCCCGTCTCCAAATTGAGTAGCCCCTTGGGAATATGACCTCATTTAAAATTACATCTTCAAGTTTTGTCTCCGTGAGTGCAACAATGTCTGGTGTCTGCAGCTGTATTACATCACTTAACTCCAGTATCTTCGATCTCACTCCATCTATGTTGGTGTATGCAATCTTCAGGAACTTGTTCCCCCTCTCCTTATTCTTCACTCCCCCTCTCTCTATTGATTTTGTTGGTTTGCCTTTATGTACCACTTTACTGGTTTGCCTACCCCTATCACTTTGTAGAAAAAAGAATTTATTTCTTCTTCATTCCTGC